CAAGTGGTAGAGCGCTAGCCTTGAGCTGAAGGGCTGAGGGACAGCGCCCAGGCCCAGAGTTCAGGCCCCACGACTGGACCCAAAAAAAAAATATTCTCATTATATGGTTATAAATTTCTTTTATATTGTTTAGACTTTGTGGAATGTCTTGATAGCTAAGTATTTTTCTTTTTTAAGTTTATTGTTTTCAAGAAGTTGTACAAAGGAATTTTAATTCAACATGTTATTTTCTATTTAGAATGCATCTTGATCCATGTCACCCCTTCCATCTTTCTCCTCTATCTGTCCCAACTCCAAAGATTAATATTTCTGAATAAATTTGAGATTCTAAATATTAAAAAGAAGAATTTCTTTTGTGTTGTTTCTGGCCCTGGGTTAGAACACATGGGTTTGTACTTGCTAGGCAAGTTCTCTGAATGTTGAATCTTCTATCTATACCCCCAAAGGAAGTAGGCTCAGGCATGAAGCAGCAGGCCTGGTTCTATTAGAATCCTAGCTGGCCTAAAACTGTGGTCCTCTCAAACTCTGCCTTCTGAGTAGCTGACATCACAGGTGTAAACCACTATATATGACTCAAGAAAAAAATCTTAGCATATACGTTATATATACACACACGCATGAGTGTGTAATATACATCTATCTATCTATACCTGAATTTTGTTCCAAACAACATAAACATGTGCAGTGGTTGAGAAAAACTCCTGTTACATTTGTCTAGTGCAAACTTGGTGGTAATTGACAGTTTCCTAGTGATAAATATTTCAACAAGATTTGTTTCTGGCAATAAAAATGCTTAAGGGGTAAATGTTACCAGCTTACCAGCCTGGATAGAAATGAGAATGATGGTGACCTATCTAGAAAAGAAAGTACGTTTCTGGAATGCTTTCTGACATCTCCTTGGACATAGATGTTTTTGCCATTGCTGTACTCATCTGAGTATCATCAATCACCCATTCCAAGTAGTGTGAAAATGGGTTCAGTTGTTCCCAATAGTCAGCATAGAATAGACATGATGAGACACCTTTTATGAAGATGTAGCTTTCATTGAAAAAGACAGAAAACATACCTAAGAAGTCACTGTAGATTTTCAGTGATTAATTTCATGCCAAATGAGTTGTTAGAAACCTCTGGTGAGATGAAAAGACAATTATTTGCAAAATTGCAAAGAGCTAAACTCAAGATGGTGTACTTTTCTGGCTTTTTAAAATTTGTACCCTGGGAGAGATATAATGTAAGAATTGTGCGGGTTTAGCATAATAGCATTTTGCTCCAGTACTTTGTATGTGATGTTAGGCTCTCAACAAGCTGATTTGTTTGCCTTTGAACCCTAAGGTGATTCATATAAGTCAGTGTTTTGCTTAGGTTTTCCTTAGAAATAACATAGGTATTATAAATGTAAGCATTCAAACTCTTGAATCTTTCATTCTGCTGTGTTTTCTTTTAAAATTTTGGTTTATATTATCTTTTTAAATGCACAGATAGGAGGGAAAGTAGGAGAAAAAGGAGGGAAGGGGTAACAAGTTTGGCAGAAAATATATATATTACCTTATGTAACTGTAACCCCTCTGTACATCACCCTGATCATAATAAAGAGAAAAAAGAGAAAAAATTAAGGTTCAGATATATACACATATACTTTTTTCATATTAAGAATCAAAGATTCAGCCAGGTGCTGGTGGCTCATGCCTGTATTCCTAGCTAGATAGGAAGCTGAGATCTGATGATCACAGATCCACAGGAAAGTCTGTGAGACTCTTATTTCCATTTAACCACAAGACAGCTGAAAGTGGTACTGTAGCTTAATGTAGTAGGGCACTAGCCTTGAGCAAAAAAGCTCAGGGACAACACCTAGACCCTGACTTCAAGCCGCATGACTGGCCAAAGAAAAGAAAAAGAAATTGAGAATCAAACCTTCAGGACCCTTTTTAGAACACACACACACACACACACACACACACACACACACACACACACACACACACAATTTATGAAATTTCATTTTAAGACTCTCCAATTTCCCCCATACCAAATACTCTACTATAACCATTTTTGTTTATTCTAAAACTTTTCTTTTTTTTTTCTTTTTATAAAATTCTTTTTATTTTTTTTATTGTGAAAATACTGTATAGAGGGGTTAGAATTACATGGGCAAGATAATGAGTACATTTCTTATCAAGCATTGTAGCCTCCTCCTTTGTTTCCCCTTCCCATCCCTTCCCATCCTCCCCTCGCCCCCACCTAATCCTCCTCCCCCCCACCAATGTTGTAAAGTTTGTTTTTCCACATAACGACTTGTACATCTCACTGTTGCAATGGGTCCACCTGTATCCCTATTTAAACCATTTGTTTTTCCCCTTCCCCTCCACAAATTATACCGACATCAAATACAGTGAAGCCAGGGGTTATACTGTGGGGGAGGGACATACAAAGCAACAAAGAAATAATCTTATAAATGTGTTAGAAACAATCGCATGAAAGAAAAAAAACATTTGAATACTTATCTTAGGGTTCATTCCCTAACATCAACTTATCTGACCTTTTCTGCTTGACTCACACATATACTAGTTATTGCAAATAAGGGAAACCATGGGACCTATATTTCTTTGGGCCTGGCTTACTTCACGTAATAGAATTTTTTCCAAGCCTTTCCATTTCCTAACAAATGGGGCAATGTCATTCTTTCTGATGGAGGCATAGAATTCCATTGTGTATATATACCACATTTTCTTGATCCATTCATCTACTGAGGGGCATCTGGGTTGGTTCCATATCTTAGCTATGGAAAATAATGCTGCAATAAACATAGTCATGCTGGTAGCTTTAGTGTGGTCTTGCTTGTGAACATTTGGGTAAATGCCCAAAAGTGGGATTGCTGGGTCATAGGGGAGCTCTATGTGGAGTCTTTTGAGGAACATCTACTACTTTCCAAAGTGTTTGAACAAGTTTACACTCCCACCAACAATGCAGTAAGGTTCCCTTCTGTCCACATCCCCTCCAGCATCTGTTGTTATTAGAGTTCTTGATTATAGCCATTTTAACTGGGGTTAGGTGTTTTGATTTGTATTTCTTTCATGGCTAGGGAGGTTGAGCATTTCTTTAGGTGTCTATTGGCCATCCTTCTTTCCTTTTCAGAGAAGTTTTTTTTTTTTTTAAGTCTTTAGCCCACTTATTTATTGGGCAGTTGTTTCTTTGAAGATTTATTGGGGGATTTAATTTTTTGAGTTCCAGGTATATTTTAGATATGAGACCCTTGTTCATTGTATGGCTAGTGAAGACCTTCTCCCAATCCGTGGGCTTTCTATTGATCTTGCTAGCTATGTCCTTTGCCATTCAGAAGCTCTGCAGCTTCATGGAATCCCATTTGTCCAACCTTTCTTTGATTTGTTGTGTTTCTGGGTCTCTATTAAGAAAATTTTGGCCTGTGCCGAGGAGACCTAGGGTTTCTCCTATTCCATCCTGTAATGTTTTCAGAGTGTCTGCTTTGACTCTGAGGTCTTTGATCCATTTGGCGTTGATTCTAGTGCAGGGTGATATATAAGGATCTAGCTTTAGTTTTCTACAAGTAGTTAACCAATTTTGCCAGCACCATTTACTGAAGAGGCTGTCTTTCTTCCATTCTATTTTTTTAGCTCCCTTATCGAAAACTAGATGGCTGTAGGTCTGTGGGTTCATTTCTGGGTTTTCAATTCTATTCCATTGGTGCTGAGATCTGTTCTTGTGCCAGTACCAAGCTGTTTTGATTACTATGGCTTTGTAGTACAGTTTGAAATTTGGTATTGATGTTCCTCCAGCACTATTCTTTCTGTTGAGGATCGTTTTTGCTATTTGGGGTCTTTTATTGTTCCATATGAATTTTTGGATTGCCTCTTCTATTTCCTTGAAGAATGAGGTTGGAATATTGATAGGTATTGCATTGAATTTGTAGATAGGCTTGGGAAGTATTGCCATTTTCATGATGTTGATCTTTCCAATTCAGGAGAATGGGAGTTTTTGCCACTTTCTAATTTCTGTTTTGATTTCCTTTTTCAAGTTTTTAAAGTTTTTGTCATAGAGGTCCTTCACTCCTTTGGTTAAGTTAATTCCTAGGTATTTTATTTTTTGTGGGGCTATTACCAATGGAGTTGCTTTCCTAAATTCAGCCACCCTTTTCCCATTGTTGGCATACAGAAAAGCCATTGATTTTTGAGGGTTAATTTTATACCCTGCTACTTTGCCAAAGTTTTGAATCAGCTTGAGCAATTTGGGAGTGGAGTCTATGGTATTCTTTAAATACAAGATCATGTCATCTGCAAAGAGGGAGAGTTTTACTTCTTCTTTCCCTATTTGGATCTCCTTTATGTTTGCATCTTGTCTTATTTCTGTAGCTAGGCATTCTAATACTAGATTGAAGAGAAGTGGAGAGAGTGGACTATTCTAAAACTTTTAAAAACAAAGGCTACCTGTTGTATCTAGCAAATCTATTGTATTTTAACAAAACAAAATTCTCTTCAGATCTAGATATGTAGATGGAAGAAATCCTCCTCCATTTAACTGCATTTTATTATGGGCTATGCAAATTTAGTATCTAATAATGTAACATAAAACCTTTGGATTATCATTTAATAAATCTTGATAGCACATTCCATTTTTTTGATAATTACCCAAACTACAAAGAACCTCCAAACAAATTATACATGGGGATGACAGAATTTCCTCCTCAATAGACAACTAGAGAGAATAGCTTGTCCTGAAGTTCAGCTTCCACAAAGTCTTCACAAGTTAGAAACAGATCAGGAGATTCATAGCCCAACTTTTTCTTTTTTGCACATGCTTCAGATACTTCTTTACTGGAAAAACTATTTTTTAGCACTATCCATGATTCAGATTTTGAAGGTCAACTACAGTACTAATGGTGTAATTTTGAAGCATCTTTTTTTATTTTTTAAAGTGAAAGGCTCTTCATTTTACATTTACTATTCTGCGCATTATTGATTTTTCTTCTTTTCTGTTGTTCTTTGCAGAGAGTGAATCTGTCCTTCGATTTTCCATTTTATGGTCATTTCCTACGTGAAATCACTGTGGCAACTGGAGGTAAGTGGTTTTCTACCCATTCATTTTAAATAATCTTTCATTTCAATGCAGTTATTCTTTTTAATTTACCTAGGAAAGAATGTAGCTATTGCAAACAATTTCAGCACAAATAGTACAGTTACTATCATTTGCAGCTTAGATCCACCTCTGCTTTTCTTCTAAATCCAAATTCACTTTTTGGCAGTAAGGTTATGATCATACAAATGAGGGAAATTGGAAGAAAACTAGGAAGAAATGTTCCTAAGGAAATGCTGGCATTTCCTTACATGGGTAACGTGTATGACTACATATACAACCACATGGATATTAACTTAAATCATTTCTTCTTCTTAATATTTCAATGTGTTCTATGATATTGACAACTCATTTGAGAGTCTTAAGAATCAAGATTGGTGAGGGAGGTAGGGAGGGAAGGGATAGTGGGAGAACAACAAGGGAGGGGGTAACAATGCTCAACAAAAAATATGCTCATTACCATATTCATGTAACTCTAACCCCTCTGTACAGCATCTTTACAATAAAATAAATTGTTTAAAAGAAAGGAATCAAGATTGACATCCAGTTTGAATTTAGAAGATTTTGCTTTACAAATGTACAGGTGAGTTTAGAGCTCAGCATTATCTTAGCAAGACAGCTATAATTCTTCACACTATCATCTTAAGAGTTTGAAATATGCTCATCCCGAAGTTCTTCTAATGGAGTTTGAGAAAATGGCCAAAGATTATAACTATAGGCCTTAGACAGAAAAGAAAAGGTTGAAGCATGAATGGAAAACTAAACAACAATGAAAATAATGAAACAGTAAGGCAAGAAACTATGTAAAAAAGACTCCACTGGTTTAATGAAAAGACTGCAATCTCTGCCTACGGCACCAGAGACCAGAGTTCTTCTCTTCACAGTCTCATTACTACTGGTCTCAGTAGTACACAGTCTCATACTACTGTATGGTATGCAAACTTCATTGGTACCATGTTTTATCATAAGACTTAGGAGTTATGGAGGATTCAGAAAAAATAAAATGGTTCCTAATCAGAAATATTAAATAAAACCTTTTTGAGTCCCTACTTTGAGCTAAAGTAAATTCAACCACATTTCCTCCAGAAATGTGAGGGTTGGTAATGAATAGGGGCTTTGGGGTGGTTAATTGGAGATAAGATTCTCAGGACCTTTCTTCTGTCAGCTGGCTTTGAACCATGATCCTCAGATCTTAGCGTTTGGAATAGTTAAGATATAGGCATGAACCACTGGTGCCTAACTCGAGACATGTCTATGGGTTTGTAGAAATCTCTATATTGTTCAGAGAGGCCTAGCCAAGATGATTTAGACACTGACTCAAACTAGTATTTTGTATAAAAGTTTTTGGCTAAATAACTTATTTGCTATTTATTGTTTAATAATTCAATCAATATTGAGTGAAGGATTGGAAAAGTCACTAAACAAGAAGCTTCAATATGTACTTTAAGTATCTAAGAAGCTTAGAATCTAAGGAGAGGAAAGGGAATGTCATTAAGAAGCAGTGAGAATAGGATGGTTCAAAAACGAGATGATTTTTATTTGACCAAGCAAGAAGAGGATTGTTAAGGAATTAACACTTGGTGTTGGCCCAAAGATAGAAGTTTAATAGCCAAAGCATTATGAGTAATTTTTTTTAAGATGGAGAAGGAAGGAAGGGATCCTTCATGGCATGCTGAGCCAAGTGACATTGCTGAACCCATGTGGAGCTTGTTTGGAGGTTTGTCAGGTACTTCAGTTTATCTTTAGTGGAAGGCGGAAATGAGTCCAGGGAAGATGTCAAAAGCAATATAGAGTAGCTTGAAGGTTAGAAATGTGCAAGCAGTGAGTCTCTTAGACTCGATCTAGCCTGATCTGACAGTGGAGCTCTGGGTAGAGTCCTAGTGTCTAAACTACAATAGTTGCAAGAGAAGAGAGAAGGAGGCAACATTTGCCCCTTCTTTTGAGCTGTTTATTCATGGTGTTTTAAAAGCTTTCTAACTAAAACAATCCATTATGATGCAATAAGAGAACCTAAGACCCTAAGAGGAGCTTGGAGGACTTCTGAACTACAGATTCTTGATGGATCTCTTCTGTATTTGACTCAAGCTGTAAGCAGACCTATTTGACAAATACTCCCTAATTTTAAGTGGGCCATTCATCATGGAAGGCATGAGAGAAAAAGAGGAACTATGGGTCAGGTTAAGGAAAGTTGATTGTATGTCATTCAAATTAAGCCCGGGGCTGTAGTTTTTACACATTTGTTTCTTCTGTTCACTGTCAGTCTTCCTTGCATTCCTCTTGAACCTTTTTCTACATTGGATGTGGAATAAAACAGGATGAATGCTTTCATGGTGAATATGAACTGTGTGAATAAGTAAAATTGATATTTAAAATCATGATTCTCTTCATTTTACCTTCTGCTTTGCTATTTCCCATGGTCTTCTTTAAAATCTCTTCCCTCCTCTCCCTTTTGAACCTCTCCTCACCCCTCTTTCCTTTCACACAGATATAAATTCATTTAAGACAGAAAATAACTTTTTAGGAACAACATAATTTGCAATTAGAAAGTAAGTAAAATACAGATACATAGTTCACTGTGACCCATCATATATACATGTATGTGTACAGATATACATATATGTATGTATATATGTATATATTTGTTTATTATGAGTAAACTTTAAATTTCAATTAAAAAGTGTAAACTAAAACTAAATATTAAGCTTTTATTTATAAATTGTAAAAATAAAATCATCCCTTAATAAGCTTTTTGTTATTCAAAAGCTCCAATCATCCATACAAATAATGCACAAAATTAATTGGAAATATCATCTTATTTTCTGGTTCACTGATAGCAGCGTCTGATTGCAGTTGTTTATCTTTCTTCTTAAAAAGTACTCCAGAACAGAAACATTTGAGGCATTATAAAAGTAGTTTATTTATTTCAAAAAATGTATTTTTGACATGTATGGATAATAGCTCATTGCTTGTTTTTTTTTCTTCTATGGATAACTTAACCAGTTCTTATTTGCTATTAGGCTGTCAATGTAATATTTTGAGTGCTTCCAAATATAGAGTTAAGTTTGTGAATCTGAGTTTTAATTTCTATAGCTGTCACTCAGAGTCCATCATGGGACCGCACGACTAAGATGGATGGGACATGGGGAGTTGAGCTGATTGCTACTTTATGTAGTTTTGTAGATGATTCTGGCCCCCAAACTTAGCTCTGTGACAGACAGTAATCCGCAATTAAAATGATGTGTAGAAATGCCAGCAGTTGGACATGAGAATAGGGACCAAAGGTGAAATGAATGAAATATCACCTCTCTAGACAATATGAATGATCCATCATGTGCTCCTTTGTCTGCAGGTTTATACTTGCAGAAGAAAAGTGTCTAAATTTTATACCAGTTTTCTTTCATCTGCTACATGGTAATTAATGAAATATAAAGTACCCATTTAGTAGCGAGTTTTAAATCTTGAGGCATCACAAAAGTCAAACTTGCAAAAGTAAAACAAAAAATGGCCTTCTTTCCTTGCCTCCCAGTTTACCAATCCCATCCCCCATGATAAAAACAATTACTAGTCTTTGAGTTATAGTATATTAAGTTCAAACTACATCTGATCAGTAATCAATTGCTTTTACCCTTGAAGTCTCTAGCAAGAGAGTTAAAGACAAATATCTTGATTGAGTCTTTAGGAAAGACTTTTACCAAATCTTCCATCTCTTTTTTGTTCTGACTTTCAAATAGTAATATTTTAATGTAATCCTAAATAATATTTTCTACTTTTCAAAGGGATTTGATAAATAACAGAAGAGGCATTGGCAAGCAGGGAGGGAGCCACTAATTATTCAGCATGGTTGATTGACTGATTTTTATTTTTGTGTATACTAAAAAAAATTTATTGTAAAGATGATATACAGAGGGATTACAGTTACATGAATCAGATAATGAGTACATTTCCTTTTGAGCAGTGTCATCTCCTCTCTCTCTCTCCCAGTTTGTCCTCTCCTGACTTCCCTCCCCTCAAAGTGTACAGTTCATTTCCAACATAGTGCCTCCTGGATTTCACTGATCTGTTGGTTCACCCTTTATCCCTCCATTTCTGTGCTTTCTCTATCCCTCCCCAAATCAAATAACTTATTTGATTTGGGGAGGGATAAGGTACTGAAATAAATTTAAAAAAGAGCAACAGAAGGGAATAAACCAAAGGAAAAAGGAATGGAAAAGAAAGGAAAGGAAAAGAAAAGAAAGAGAAAAGAATGAAAAGAACTGCCAAGAGTATAATGAAAAACCTCTTCTATTTCTTGGAGTTCATTTCAATAAACATTTTATATGCACATAGCTATTCAGCCCTTGCAATCCTCTCCTAAGAATATCCTCTTTTGTTCTCACTGTGTGAATGTTTAGACTGCTGTTTACTTCCTCACCATCTTCTTTCAAGTATGTGATATAAAATATAACATAATGCATCTATTAGCTATCTGAACCTAGTCAGTGAAAGAAGTTATTTTGCCTTAAAAACATTAATAGCAGACCAGAGAGTTTGACTGTTTAGACATCAGCACATGAAGAATTTGCTGGAGTAATAGATTGTGGGCAAGAGCAACTCATTCCAAGATTCCTAGACAGAAAGATAAACCCTATGTTGTCTAGTCTGCTGTATCTAAATAATTCTCCAAAATATTCCTTTAAATCCCCGAGAGCTCATCTTTAGTAGTCCCTAGCAATAAATTACAATTCTAATTCTCTGGTGTTCAGAGCAAAGCTAGCAGATTCTGCAAATCCCTAGATGTCTTATTTGTGTTGTAGTTCGGACTTCATATCCACTAGCATTCTGTTCCTGTTCTGTCTCCACACATGTGGTCTTTCATTAGTACTGGCTCCCTGGGTTGCGCATTCCAGGTGTAGCTTGAAGACCAGGATATTAAAAGATGCAGAAAGAGGCCACACAGAAGCTAGAATGGAGTCAATAGGATTAGGCGAGAGAAATGCTAGCCATGA